AAGCCAAAAAGTTGTGAATTTAGAGTACTGACGGGGGTGCTGAAGTGCTGTGTCCGCTTGAAGTCACAGCGTTTGCTACGTAAACACTAACTGCGTGGTGAAAATGAGGGAGTTTTGTTGTCCAGCTGCCTCTCGGAACACGTGGCATCCACTTAAATAATATTAATATATTTCTAATGTGTCTGATACTTATTTTGCACAGGGGGACATCCAGTAAGTGATTTATCCCAAAGGAAGAAAACCTCTCCAGCCTTTCATTTCCTAAAGGAGGTTCTCAGGCTGTGCACAACTACAAGGTCAAAATTCACAAAGTTCTGCTCATGTCTGGCTTCCCTCAGCGCCGGTCCATACACCTAGAAATTACCCTTCCAAACCTGAGGACTCCCATCGAAAAATACATGTACACTTGATATTGATCTGAATTTGAAATCATTTCTGGTTCTATAGTGTCGACTATGTCAGGCTTAGGAAAGCAGCTGGTTTCCAGACAGTTTTCCCTTCATTAACTCGAAGTTCTGGGTATCAGTTGTCTCCAGTTGTGTATGATGGGCTAGCTGATACTCTGTTAAGCACAGTGTGTGCAGTCAAAGCAGCTGAAGCCACCTAGAGCCATAAATTAGCTCACACCGAGAGCAATTCTTGAGTAAAGTTCTGAAATCCACATTTATGACTAGGTCAGCTCCGAGGGCTGGGCGGGAAGAATTCCAAATTAGTTAAGCAGTAGGGAAATAAAGCACTTTTTTCTGCATTTCAGTGGCCAACCCTGTATTTCTTTGAGCCTGAGAAGACACGTCAATGCTTCCAGGGAAACAGATGCTCAGAAGTCTCCTGCAGCCTGTATTCCACCGCGTGAATTAAATCAGTAATTGGTTATAATGTTTTAAAAATCTAAATGCAGGACTGTCCAACATTGCTTTCCGGCAACTCCTGCCCTGTATCCAGGGGTGCGAGAGCAACATCGATGAAACTGCACTTTCTCCACACTTGCTTTAATCTTGGTAATAACAAGAGTCACGAAGTCGAGCTGTGTGGGCTGACAGTCAGGCACCCGTTCAGCAAACACCGGTGCCACCACGCTGCCAGTACCACCACGCTGCCGGTGCCACCATGCTGCCGGTACCACCACCCTGCCAGTGCCACCACGCTGCCGGTGCCACCACCCTGCCAGTGCCACCACCCTGCCGCTGCCCCGGGAACGCACGCTGGCTCCGTACAGAGCAAGGCTGCTCCTGTGCCTCAGCAGATGCACTCCATTGGCTTCAGCTGCTGTTGATGACAGGAGACTCTCCTGCCAAAAGTCCATCTGTGATTTTTAAATTTTATCCTTCTGGTAAGAAAAACTCGGTTATGTTAAAATCTTGATTCATTTGGCAGAAGTTCTTTGGAGCCGGTTCCTTCCGTACGGAGTCTCTACGCTGCTCTTCGGCACACCGTTCCCAGTGCATGGGCTGAGTAGGAACCACCAGCAGTGGTCAGCAATGCTGGACTTACACATGAAATCCACACACTTTGACACGGGTCGTGTTTCCTCATGAGAGCTGCAGGTCAACACAGCCTTTAGCAGACTGGTAGTTCCGTGAAAGCAAATGGCTTTGTGGTTTTTAGGAACCCGATGTGTAGAGTAAGTGGGGCTTGTTTTGGTTTGCAAGTTTAGATTTCTTTAAAATGCGGACTCAACTACACATGAAAAAAAAAAACAACCCCACGCCGTCAAACCCAACCATCTGCTTAGCTTCCTTTTAGCTTTTTCTTCCCTTCCTGCAAGGAGTACTTGGCACTTGGATATGCTTAACGTGCCACACGCAGGAACTGCATTAAAAACCTGACAAGTTTAATATACCAGAGCCCACAGGATGCTCCACATCTCCTTCCCTACCACCTCTGTCTTCATCAAACTGGGAAGTAGTGAACAAACGACCCAAACGGTACACGCTGGTCAGACAACATGGCAGTGAAGGAAAATTTGGGAACTGGGGAGCAAAGCTCTGCCTCCCACGCTCCTTCAGCGTACCCACCGTACCCACAGCAGGAGTTCAGTGTCACACTGCCCCGGTAACCTTCAGTCACTTTCTAGTTTAAATCTGAAGGAAATGGGATAAAATTATTTATTGTGCATCCAGGCATCCGTCAGTTCCTTCCAACGAACTTGCACTGAAATGCTCTAGTGGTAACGAGAAAATGGAAGGGAAAACCCGGGAATTTCGAGCCTGTCCTGTTGACACTGCCCCTCGGCGTGCAGCACGTGCTGTTCCAGGGTTTATTCTGAGCTCCTCTGTAAATCCCTTCTGCCCCCCACCCAGCAGCAGTTTCCAAACACCTTTTACCAATGGATTATGATTATTATTATTAGGCTTTTCAATTTTTGTCTCACAATCACAAGCTCTTGGAATTCTGATTGCATACAGCTTTCTGAATCACTTGCCTGCATGAGAAAAAGTAGCTTAGGATTTGGGAAAACCTTAGGCTGTGATGGAGGCGTTATTTTTAGTACAATATTATAGAATCATGGAATGGTTTGGGTTGGAAGGGACCTCAAAGATCATCCAGTTCCAACCCCCCTGCCATGGGCAGGGACACCCTCCACTACACCAGGTTGCCCAAAGCCCCATCCAACCTGGCCTTGAACACTGCCAGGGATGGGGCAGCCACAGCTTCTCTGGGCAACCTGTGCCAGTGCCTCACCACCCTCAATGTAAAAAATTTCTTCCTTAGATCTAATCTAAATCTCCCCTCTTTCAGTATTGTAGGCAGCTGCAGTAACATCTGGGCCCACCACCGACTTTAATACTTACCATCAGTTCAGTCTTCAGCTTTTTCCACCTCTCGCACGGCTGCTCACACGAGACACTTTCCCAATACTTGCTTTTAGCAGAAACTTTGGCCTAGTTAGGAATTTTTATGATCTCTTAAGCAATAATAAGGTCAGACTCAAACACCAGATTTGGAAATGAGGGTTTTTTAAAAGGAAAAGGAGCAGGAATATTTTACAGTGTAAATTTCTCACGGAACTGATGTCACTCTCAATTAGGGTTTCAGGTGGCATAAACAGATCACTGTGTATAAACCTACGTTTGTCAACGCAAACGCCTTGCAATCCCTGATCAGTGGGATTCTTCTGGGGCACAGATACAAAAGCCACCTTCCTTGGTGACAGTTGTGTTTCCACTGCAGTCCTGCACAGCCATTTCTCCACGGTAACTCGTCTCTGCCTCCCCCCAGGAGCACTGTCTGCTCTATCTGTCCCGTTTCCGAAGATCACGGAGGCTCTCCTCATCACATTTTGTTGAAAAAGCAATACACACTGTGCTGCAGTATCAGTGTTCGTGTCACAAATACATTTATTTCTAAACATTTAACGCAGCAGGCTCATAAAAAAAAAAAAAAGGATTTTTTTTTAACATGTATAAGCAATCAAAGAACAAGTCAAGTGTTTCTCTCAGAGCCCTCGGGATCTGACCACAGTCCTACAACAAATAACAGATCCTAAACCCAAAGAGCTGGAGTTTTACCTCTGTTCTAGAAGTACAAAGCATTCTTCCCTCGGTTATGCAATACTGTATCTTTAGCTATTTAACAACAAAAAAATCTGTTTTTGAAAAACTTTGCCCTTGTTAACATACATTCACAGAACGCTGACATCTGCAATGCTCGTCTAGACAGTATTCTCCCAAGACCTCATTTTTATAGCTCAGAAATAACACATCCTGTAATTCCATCATGGAACCACGCACAGTTGTTGAAAAGATGGCAAAATTCAGTACTGACCATAACCATGATGTAAGAAAAACCTGGTGAAACCTCAAACTCAGTACTAGAGGTTTCTGCACCTCTTCTACTTTGTCTCTAGGAGACTACGTGAAAGGCAGCCAGCTGTAAATACACCACGCCACGCCAGCTGTAGTAGAGAAACGGTGGCGGTGCTCTGTCATTCCACGTGTACAGGATGTAACGATAGTATCTTCGCTGTGTAGTGGGTGTGTCAAGAATAATTATGTTACTGCAACTGCAAATTCTGTATTGTTGTCTATTAGAAGTGTAAACTACTGAAAACTTGGCCTTGCTCATATCAATAAAGTGATGAAAATACCCGTCTTTACAGACACAGGGGTTTGTCTTCTTTAAGAAACACGAATCTTAGGATTTCTTACCTTTTTCATTGTAGAATTTGAAAAAAGAAACTATTTTAGAAACAAAAATGCATCTGTTTTGATCTTCCCTGCGTGTGTCCCGAATTCTCGAGGTGCATCAGTGCACGCAGTGGGAGTGTCTCTATGTGGGTTCTGATGATCCCAGTGTGTCAGAGATGTCTCCTCACTAAACTGCGCATGAGCACTAGTGCATCAGCCCTCTAGGGGTCTGTGAACACCAAAGACACCAGAGCAGTTCTGGTTTACGGGTATATAGATACACACACACAAAGTGCATCGCGTTTGCAGAATTCCCCACCGCCTTCTGCAGACCCCACGAGATCCACAGGCTTGTAACACTCTCAGAAGGATTAGGGAGGCGATATCCTGAAAGGAGGAGGTCATCATTAGTTCCATGCTGGGCAAAGAACAAGTATTTGAGGGTGGCAAAGGACAACGCAGCTGCAAAAACAGTAACAAAAATCCAGGTGGGAATTTGGGAAGCATCTTCAAAGCAAGTTTCTTGGCATAAACATCCCTCGGTGACATTTCATACGTTCCAGAAGATTCCTGTAGAAATCCTGTGGTTACAGCAGCCCACGTGGAGAAGAGTCAGAGGAAAATAGGACAGCGTATTCCAGAGTATGCTGCATGCGTAGGGTACGTACATGGAAAAGTGCTTTGGGAATTCCTAGTGGTTTTATTTAAGGATATCAGCCTGTGCCAGAGAAACGCTGCCGTCGCAGTTTTGCCCTGGCAGCACAGCGCTCCGTCAGCCGACGCCATCTCTGCCACTGTGGGTTTGGTTTGTGTTGCCCCCTACTCTAAATGTTTTTACACCAAATGGGTTTAACTTTCTATAAAAACACAGGATCAAAGGCAAGTCACGGAAGCGTTTGACGACAAATCCTGCCAAAACTCAATTATTTCACTTGAGGTAAGGCCGTGTACTGCTATCAAATGTCTGTACTTACAGACATCAAAATTGATTTTATAAAGAAAGAAGAGTTCTTGATCTTCTGGAATACTGATGTTCACTTTAAGTATATTTAAGCAAATTCCAACATAAACATCCTCTAATTTAATAGGTCTGACGTGACTCATCAGTTCATAAATCCTCAGGGCCAGTTTTCCATCCAGTATATAACCCATCCCACTGCAGTATGGAGGATACAACTTGAACGGATATTCATCGTAAGAGATGTAAGTTTTGTCGTGAAAGCCTCTGTAGGCAAAGTTGTCGATGAGAGGATAACCAGTAAAAAAATTTTCTGAGGAATTCAGCTTCAGCAGAAGTTTCACTAAGTTGGCAGTATTGATGAAGACATCGTCATCAGTCTTCATGAGGAACCTGGTGTTTGAACAGAACTCGGCGACCCACCTAAACCCCATGATGGTTTTCAAGGTGAGATTGTTGTACGTGTCCATGAAATCTTGGCGAATTATGTCGCCGTAGAGGACGCTTTCATCTTCCACCGACAGCGCTGCAGCACTGTCTTCTCTTTGCGTGTCCTGACCCAGCAAGAACAGGGTGAGAATTCGATGTCCCCACCAGAGCTTCTGAGATCCCCATGTTATCCTGATGGCCTTCCTTGACTCCACATCTTCAGGCCTTGAAGACACCAAGATGACTAGAAAGGGATTTGTGTCTTTACACGTCAGGTGCTCCCGCAATGTGAAGAGGTGGCGTTGCTTGTAAATCGGTTCATATTCGTAGAAATACATAACGTTCGTTTGCTCAATCACAGGCTTGGAAGAAAAAGTTAGGTACCACATTGTTACGACAGAAAATACAAGGAGAAACAACAAAATCCATGTTAACGTTCTCATATACATGACACCAAGTGGAAATAGGCCAAAACTACTTTGCAGTAGTGTGTCGGTGACGTTCAAGCTCCATACCACAAGTTCTGAAGCATGTTTCTTGCTGAAAAAGAAAAGAAGTGGTGTTCAGAACAGTGTTACTCAAATATTATCTTTTCCTTACCTCGTCTGAAGTGTCAGGTGAAAGTGTGCTGTGATGCAATGATGACAAAACCCAGACTCATTGGTCCAGCTGTTGCACACCATGGTCCAGCACCCTGTGCACTGTGAATCAACGCCGTGTCCCAGAAACAATCACAAGCAGAACACCGAGCTGACACGGAGCACAGTACGGATTTGAACCTCATAGCTTTCACCTTGGAAATCTCCCCTACACAAACCCCATCCCAAAGATCTCAGCACGACGTCTTTGACTCAGACCTGAGGGCACAACACCGTGCACAAAATCTGATGGCTACAGAGTGCTCAGCAAACTGATGTTCAGCGGTTTCAGAAATCTGTAATTTATTTCAAAGAAAGGAAGTCACAGAATGACAGAACGTTAGGGATTGGAAGGGACCTCAAAGGATCATCTCGTCCCCAAGTCCCACTAGCTTTTACAGCCTGGGGCAAATCAGCCAAGAAAGCAGGCAAAGTGAGAAGCAGAAGCAAATATTTCATCCCTTATTTAAGGGCTGAGCAGCTACTCGTTCCGAATTGACTAAGTGATAGGGGGAGGAGAAAACCGACTTCCTGGGCGCTGCAGACACGCGAGCACACACGTGTCCCGACAGACAGACTCAGCTCTAACTCTGCCCAAGGAACTGGCTGCTCCCACAGCACGTGACATCACACAGCCATCATTCCTTTCCTAGGATGTGCTCGTTAAACCAAGTGATGAGTAACGGGGCATTGCCACCAACTCTGTCACAGCAGCTTCACAGTTGACCGAATGGGAGCAGCGGACAACCCGCTGCAGCAGACGGGCTTCAAACCTTACAAAGTTTTGCAAATTCTTCTCGTATTTTTCATTTAAACAAACAAGACACTACAAATCCTCCTGCTACTTCCATCTATTTAAGTTGTAGAGGAGAAAGGATCCCAGCTGCATTATTTTCATGACATGTCTATCAAAATCCGACAGATTGGCTCGGCTCCGTCAGGCAGAGCCACACAAACTGGAAACAGAGGTCAGCACAAGACTGAAGATGAACTAAAGCCATTTTTTGGCCAGAGACACACATCTTGGTCTGGGGTCCCACCTACATGAGCAGGTACTTACAAACCCCCGTGGAGTCCACGCTGAAGACATTCCTACAGTGTCAGGACTAGATACTGACACCTTTCCAAAACTAAATTTAAAAAGAGAATCCCAGTCCTTCACCCTTCGTGTAGCAGGGCTTTCCTTTATCTTTCAAACTACATACGCTGTGAACATGCATTAAGATATCTTTAAGCCAAAATAATTACAAGGTGTTATTACTGTGGGAGTTCCAAATGATTTCTAATGTTTGCAGTAATAATATTTACTCTGCACTGCAAAGTATCCACAAAGACACAGTAAGGAGGATGGAAGGTTCAATTTCACGGTGCAATTAATTACTATTTAACTTGTCTTCGAAATAATCACTGCAGGGCTTGTAAATGTTTTATATTAAAAAAAAAATAAATCCAAAAGCCAACAGAGCACACTAGAATTTAGGTGAATTTGCCGTGCCGGAGTGCACCTGCCTTGTATTTCTGCGTAGGATTTGACTTCAAATGAAATGATCCTTTAAGGGAAGCATTTCCAGCACGTTTCACCATCATTTCATTGAATTCAATTCGTGGTGCATTAACACAATTTTAAACAAATAGCTATTCAAATAGAAGAATTTCAGACTGATCCCTCTCAAAGCTGCATTATTCCAAAAATACTTTGTGGCTACCAGGAGCCAATCCTTCATTAAAGGCACCTCAGGTAACTGCAGATCAACAAGCGAGTTTTGTCAAGAACTTCCTAACGTGACCAACGTCGCAGCTTATAAAAACCTCACTTACAGAACCTCACATTTTTATGTGGATTCACTTCTTTCCCTCCCCAAGGATTAAACATACACAAGTAAAACAGAAGTTTGGCAAGTGCAGAAGAAACTATCAGTGGGACGGTTCAAACTGCATTTAGGGAAGTTGACTGTAACCATAAACACTCAGATTTGGCATTCACTTCTGTACTTTTTGGGAAGAAAAAATAAAAATGCTCAGTTCTTCTTTCTTTATATGTAACAACCTGACTTTGAGTGAACAATATGAAAAATACACACTGGGAGAAAATAACCTAAGTTATATACTAGTGCTTATGTGTTTGATTTTATATAGGTAACGTTTCTCAGGGTTTGATGATCAATTTAAAGTAAAAGCATATCGAAGTTTGATCAGTTCTATTTTTCTTTCTAATGGAAAAATAATCTGATTTTAAGGATTTTGATTTTCTATGGACAGAAATGCCTGATTACATGACATTTTGATAAGAGAATTGGGAGAGCAATGCCTGATCTGGTATGTAATGATGAATCTGGGACAAGAAATCGTGGATTCAGGTTCTTTGCCCACACTATGCACAACACAATCGTAAAGCTGCGGGATCCTTACGGACAGCCTGCACCACAGGCAGCCGGGACAAGCGGTGTAAATGCTGTTCTGCTGCGTGACTCCTGAGCAGCTACAAAGCCCAGACCCCTCAAACCCCGCTGTGCCCTTCCCAACAGTCACACTCCTCCAGCGAGACGCTGAACTGCTCGCAGAGGCTCACCAAAAGGCGGCTTTTGTAATGGTCACGGGGCAGAAACCACCCTCCCCGGAACAGGAGAGCTACTTCTGCAGCGCTGAGAACTCCAAACACAGCATCCTCCAGCATCGTTCAGCGCAGAACTCGCCCTTCGAACACAGCAGAACAGAATAAAAGGGCAAATTTAAGGGGGGAACCCTTTCTCTTCCGAAAAAAAAATGCTTAAAGCAAAGCGATGAGGTGGAAGAAAAGAGGTCTGAAAGTTGAGCTGGCACTTTTGCTCAGAGCTGATACAGTTGTAGCTTCCAGCTACGCACAGGACAGGTTCTCCAGCACTTCCAGACTGTATTTGCCGACAGTTTTTGAATTCCACTTGTACGGCAGCAGCTCGGGATATGTAGCAGGAGCAGTACTAGGTCAGGAACTCCTTCCAGGGAGATGCTTTCATTTGGTTGCAAGCTCACAGCTTGCTGGCATGACAAGATACAGCCTAAGACTACACTGACAGATAAAACTCACCAATTTTAAAACAAATGTAAGAAAACACATACTGAGCATGTTCTGGGGTAATTTTAGGCACGTTTCTCACATCATGCTAGAGCTAGGTAATAATTATTGAGTGCAGGCATTCTTGACAGGAAAAAGGTGGTAAATTCTCTCAGTCATTAAAGTTCAAAAATTCAAATAAGCAATTGATAGTCCAACTTAAAGATAAAAAATTACTGTATTTATAATGGTAGGTGTACAGAAAAATAAATCTTTTTTTTTTTTTTAAAGCCACTAGCAGAAATAATTGGGAAATATATCACTGTACCTGGCTTCTTGACTTCTTATGGCTTACTACCAAGAGGAAATAGCAGCATTTTTATTTATAATGGTAGGTGTACAGAAAAATAAATCTTTTTTTTTTTTTTAAAGCCACTAGCAGAAATAATTGGGAAATATATCACTGTACCTGGCTTCTTGACTTCTTATGGCTTACTACCAAGAGGAAATAGCAGCATTTT